ATCTACGGTCCGTAAGTCCCTTCCGTCACTCGGGACATAGAAAATATTTCAGCATCCAACAATCAGCTTCTCTGAAGCAAACGACGGACCAGCACACGGACCGTAGATCGACCTACGGTCCGTTAATCCCTTCTGTAGCTCCATACTTAGCATTTCAAAAATCAGGTACTGGAACCTCGCAGTCTCACTCTACGGATCAACAGTACGGTCCGTAGATCAATCTACGGACCGTCAATGGTCATCGTGGTTCCACCCTTGGTCAGATTTCCCTGATTTGTCCTCAACACATTCCTGCTGATCTATGGTTATCACCTACGGACCGTGAATGGACCTACGGTCCGTAGATGACCTCCGTGGATGCCTTTTTCTGCATTTTCTTCAGTTGTCTCCAAACTTCCGCGCCTGAACACCTTTCCTGCAAAACATGATAAAATACATAAAAACCAATATAAAAAGGCCCTAGACACACACAACTTGTAAGTGAAATGTATTAGAAATACCGTAAACTCACGGTATATCATAAGACATACTTTCTGTCAGGAAAAAATTGTAAATCTTCGCAATGTCATTTCCTTCATCAGGTAATTAATTATACCAAACAACTTACAAATCTTCTTCATAGCTGTTTAGTAATTAATTATACCAAACAACTTACAAGGAGGTGATTGAACTTGTAAGTGTTTGGAAGTGTGATTTTTCAAGTAAGAAGATGATTATTCATATCAAGAACTAAGATAGAGCAATTTGTGAGAGTATATTTCATTCATCAAAATTGTTAACAGGATAATATGGCTATATAAACCCAATCGCTTCCTAACTGTCTAACCTTGAGATAAGCTCATAATCTTGGCAGTTATAAGACAATTCTGTTAGATTAACAAACTGTTTCTTTACCAAATTATCCTTGAGTTCTTCTTTATACTCTTAACACTCTCCCCTCAAGCTAGATGGATTAAAAATGTAAAGAATCTTATGTTGAACCCTTCTTGCCATTTTGTTAGTACATCTGCAGGCTGATCCTAAGTAGGAATTTATACAAGATAGTCCTTGTTGTAGCTTTTCTCCCACAAAATGACAGTTTATTTTTATGTATTTGGTTATCTCATGATACACTGGATTGCCAGCTATTTGAATTGCGACTTTTCTATTGATGTGGATTACTAATGGTAGTTCAATATTTGCCCCACTACTAAAACTGTAGAGGCCAGACTCATTTGCTGAGCTTTTGGACAGTATAGTCTGCTTTATTGCTTTACACGAAATCAATGAATCTCCAACTTTGATTAAGAAACATGTAACTGACTTTATGGTAAGAGTGTATGCAATCCTATCTGTATCACAGTATGCATTTGCTGGACTCTGGACATGATGCCACTTCTCCAATTCCTTTCGTTGGCTGGTTCAACGGTAAGTATAGGCCCCCTTCTTCCTTACCAACTTTAGCACATAAAACTTGATTTTGATTTCCAGTTCCACAATTAACTGATGATGGAGTTGTATCATTGTTGAGGTTCTGCCTTAAATCACAATTTGCATGTTCTCCATTGATCCTCATTCTTGTCAATTTCTGATGAATTAATAGGGCTTAAAAATACTTACTTTTAGAATTTGAAATCAGTAATGCATTATTTTGTAATTCAGACATTCAAATTCATTAATTATCACTAAAGGTAAATTTTTTGGTTAGAGATGTTTCAAGAATTCCAAAAATATTAGGCTAAAAATAGTAAAAAGATTAGTCAAATCAAAATTATTCACAACTATATGTTAAAATTCTTGAGGATAGTTCTTCAATCCAATTTGATCATATAACACGAAAAATATTATGAAGATATTAATTTTGCAGAGCAATTAAAGGTTTTTTTCTATGTGAATGTTGGAGTTTTAGTAAATCCAACAGAATCACGAAAAACATATATGAAAATAGTGTATTATTCGATATCTTAGGAAACACCTATTCATTATTAACCTAAAATAATTTGTGATGTTTATTCATTAAATTAACTTGAGAACTAAATTGTGTTTCATAAAACATGTTTAATTTTGAAAGGTATAACTAATTTTCCAATTTCAATGGTGTTTTCAAAAGATTTTTTTTGAAAAGGGTAAAATTGTCAAATTCTCATGTATTAGGGTCTAGGGAGTATATTAGAAAAAAGTAGAAGTTGAATTTGGTGGAATATAATATGTAAATATCTATTTTTGTTGACATATAAATTCATTGTATTTCGTAATTTAGACTAAAAAAAAAAACTACTCATTTATGATGATTTAATAGTTATTTGACCCGTGACTTTTGATGGAGTAATAAAAGCCAACAATTTGCATTATTGGGTCAAGCCACTTTTTGTTTCAATAGAACACCAAATCAAGCCCTTCTTCTTCACTGCAGTGTCGTTTTCCGCTAGGGTTTCAGGTATGCCTCTCCTTTTCCAATTTCTGCAGTTCTAACTCATCTAGTATTGAAATTATTGCTGATTTCACTGAATTGGAGGAAAAATATTCCCTTTTTCTCCTGGAACTTTAACGGTCTTACAGATTTCTGGTGTAATAAATCTCTGAGAAGGTTCTACTGATTTTGTTGTCTTGCTAGATTCTTCAATTAACTTGTAATGTATTTGCAGTAGATTTTTAGCTGCGTTTTAACCTTTTTTCTTACTTAATTTTTGGTTGATTAGGGAAAAGATGTCTGTCTTCACCCCTCCCTTTTTGTTTCTTGTTCTTATTTGTCTTCGGCGGAAATTGGAGCAAGGATTTACTGAGCTGTTGATGTATCTAGGGTTTCATTTGACTGAACTCGTAAATTTCTGCATAGCTCGTTAGGTTAATATAGGAGCTATTTAGTTCCCATAGTGAGTTTTTTTCTCTAAAATTTTCAGTAAATTTGAAATAAAATGTCTCGAATTCATCCTGGAAATGTAGGTTAGTGCTGGGGAAGAGTCTAGCTAAATTTATTGCTTTGGTTGCATTGCCTTTTCTTAGTTGTTAGATATGTAATAGTTTATTTGTCGAACTTAGGTGAATGGGATAAAATCCATCTTCCTTTTAAAATGTTGATGTAGCAATCATATGTTGTTTCATTTACTTAAAACTCTTCAATTATTTATTTATCTTCTGCTTATGCCATATATATAGTTTGAGGATATTGTTATGTTACCAGGACCATGGTGTTTTGTGATTGGTATTAAATTTCTTGATGGTCTTGTTAATGTTGAGAGTTGACATACTTTTCTGTTTTCCCAATAGTAGGTGTGTATTGAAAATGTCAAGAGTCTATGTTGGAAATCTGGACCCTAGGGTCAGTGAAAGAGAGCTTGAGGATGAATTCCGCATCTTTGGAGTTATAAGAAGGTAAAGGAAGTTCCAAGATTTACATCTCTTCATGATTGGTATGCATGGTTGTAGTGGACAACTGAATCTTCCCCTTATTATTTCCCTTCATCCTCACCATCCCTTGTTGAAATTTTGAGTCATTAAAGTGCCCATCATAATTGACTTTTGTGCAATTTGTTTTCTGTTGTTGGTTTTAATTTGTTGAGGCGTACCACCTTAGGCCATTGACGTTGCTGCTAAAGCCCATTAATACTGATTCCTTTATCTCCATTATATGATGCTTATGATTGTTTGAAATTTGGATTCAAATTGGTTCTTATAGGAGTAGGGTGGAAGGCATAAACAACTTATAATAATAGTATTTAACTTTTTTTGGATAAGAATGATATCTGAGCCACTGCGTCCACCTCGATTATTCCACCCAATACTTGCTAAGATCTCTCATCAGTAAAGGTACCATCTAATTAAGTCTACCGAGGCTTAGGCAGATGGGAAGAAACGATCTAGTGCTTTTTGTCTCTGTGGGTATTTGAACCTTCGTCTTCAATGAAGGTTTCTCCCCTGGGATTTTACAAAGGATGGAAAGATGCTTCGTGTCTACCTTTCTGGCCATGCATAATTTTTGATTGAACTAAATTATATTCGGGTCTTGGTTGAAGAGGGACAGGGTTGTGATAAGCACGTTGAACAGAATGAAAAAAAGTTGACCTCTTTCTGTATTGTTATTCTTTGCAAAATGAGTGAACATGTTGCAAATATTGTTCACCGATCACCCTTCGGGGTGGCCCAGTGGCTTTGGCTTGGGACTTTCATGTTGGAGGTCTCAAGTTCGAAACCCCTTGCCAGCGAAAGCAAGGGGTTTGCCTTTTGGGTCGAGCTCGTCGCACCGGGCTTGCCTAGTGTGGGTTACCTCTCCTATGTGGTTTGCGAGCTATTGCATAGGAGCGGGGGTTTTACCCTGTGCGCACCCAAAGGGTAGCGGCTGTGGGTTTCCCTAGTCATCAAAAAAAATATTGTTCACCGATCAAAAAAAATGAACATGTTATAGATATTGTGCTTGAGAAAATTAAGTTGCACTTGCTGGAAAAGTAGAAAAGTGGAAGGAACAGTTGAGTGTGACCCATTGAAAAGAAAAGAACCCTGTAAGCAATCAGAAGGATATGAACATATATTCACATTTTAAATTAATTGGCAAAGGGGGGAATTCTTAAAGGCAGTTCGAAATGTATGGGTCAGTTCATACGAGCTAAAGTTGTTCTTCAGTTGAATATCATCAGAAACGTTGTCTGTGATTGTACTTTTGTGGATAGAGCAACTATCATGAGAATGGTTATTGTTATTTATGCTTTTAGCAAATGCTTATGTAAATAGTTGTGTGAAAATTGTGCTTGGGCTAGAGACTTACTAGAATGGGTGACCCCATGGGAAGTCCTCATGCTCCATCTCTCCTTTACATAGTTACCATTCTTTCAAAAAGAAAACTGTAAAGATCATGTAACCTCCAAATAGGAGTTTTAACTTTTTGCATGAACATTATCCCTATTATAGACAATGAAGTCATAAATGACATTTTCCTTTGTTAGTTGAAGACCTGGGAGTCTAGCCTGGCTAGGTGGGAGCCATTTTCTCATAAGTTTTTATCTCTTAAGAGACTTAGTTGCAGTTCACCTGCAATTTAGACATAATATTTATGGTATTCAACTGCTACCATTCCATCATTCCTAAACTCACAAATTTGTTTACAGTGTTTGGGTTGCAAGACGTCCCCCTGGCTACGCTTTTATTGACTTCGATGATCGACGGGATGCACAAGATGCAATCAAAGAGCTGGATGGTATGGTTATTTGATTGTTTGAATAAACTGATGCATATTATAAAGCTTTCTGAATGAGTTTCTTTTTATCTTTGTGATGGTCATACTATATTTGGCCTTGCTCTGAGATTAAACCTCAATTTAGTTAGTATATACATGTGTTTCTGTCTATTTGTTTCTTGCCTTAACATTTCTAAACACTGGTGATATGTTGAGCTACGAAGCAATCCTTTGATGGAATTTTATCCCTGATTCTATGACATAGGTAAGAATGGATGGAGAGTGGAGCTTTCACATAATTCTAGAGGAGGAGGTGGTGGGGGCCGTGGAGGGGGTCAAGGTCGATCTGGAGGCTCTGATTTGAAGTGCTACGAATGTGGTGAATCAGGTCATTTTGCTCGTGAGTGCAGAACGCGTGGGGGTCCCGGAGCAGGAAGACGTAGAAGTCGGAGCCCTCCTAGATACCGCAGGAGCCCAAGTTATGGTCGTAGGTAAGAAACTGATGTATCATTGACTAGGAATCCGTGAACAATTTGAGATCCTCCCAATATTTGTGATAATCTTTACATGGAATTTGCTGATTTTCCTCTTCCTGAAGCAGGAGTTACAGTCCTCATGGGCGTTCCCCTAGGCGCCGAAGCCCGTCACCACGTGGTCGCAGCTATAGCCGTTCTCCATATCGCGGCCGAGAAGAAGCTCCATATGTTAATGGGTAAAGCCTCTATTTGCATATTTAGGGTTCTTTTCTATGTGAACACAGCTGAGACTTCTCTTTTATAATATATATACCTGATTTAAGTCTTTGGATATGCTACAACTTATTCTCATGATTGGACATTTATTTGCTTTTTCCTAAAGATTATGATTAAGGTTCTCTTTTTCTTATTTATACGCTGATTTTATGCAGAAATGGACTTAAAGAGCGTCACAGAAGCCGAAGCTGAATGAAAGAGATGATAGCCTGACATGTCCTGGAGTTTTTCGATTTGTGTTACTGTCCTTGACTTAATCACAACTGTGTAAGTGAGGCCATGCCCTCGGCTTAAACTGGTGGTTTTGGTTAAGTTTAACTTCTTGCTTTGGTATCGTTAGTGTTGGTTTTATTTTTGCTTAATGTTACCCGTTTTAAGAACCTAATATCATAAGGGTTTATATTTTGGATTTTATGGTAGTTGTTATTTTTTATGAAGAAAATCACAAAGAATGTTGCTAAAGATTTATGTTTTGTTTTCTTGTGCCGAGGTGTCTTCCTGGTACTGCTTCATTGGTTTTCTGCTTCTACACTCTGTGGTTTCGTTCTTCACTGCCCTGCTGCGGGATCTTCAATTTTGAAGATTGTGGATCCCAGCTGGCTACATTGCTAGATGCTTCTGTTTCTTGAATCTCTGTGGATATGACGCGCCTCTCCTCAAATTATAGTGGTATTTCTTTAAGTTCATATTAAGGATGAGGATTGGCATGACACACGACTGGCAGGTACAATCTGTTCCAAGGAGTTTGGGGATTTGATGTTCTCCTTTAAACTAAATTGTGAATGGTGCTCCTTTTGGGTTCATAGGGCAGTGTCCGAGTCTATGCTCATGAGAATTTTGGTTCCCTTTTGACTTTATATGCTAGCTGCTTCATTTTGCTTTTTGGCCCCTTCTTTTCGCCCACTCTTTCAATATCACCTGTCAAAATATCAGTCCTCTTTTAAAGGAGTGTTCTCCATAATTTCTTTCTGTCTATCAAGGATAAAGAGTTGGTTACAATTTTATTAAAATGTTCCCTTTAAGAGTGACTAATATCTTTTGAAACTTTTAAGTTACTTTTTCTACTTCTCCACACAAAGCTAGTGTTTTGTTTTCAAAGGTGCCCCTTGTATAACCCCCTTTTTACCTTAAAAAACAGTCACATCTATTTCTGTTAAACTTCATCGTTCATTTTTTAATTAAGTTCTCTTTTTTCATTATCTGACATACATAGTGTGGGGTGTCCGTTAGTAGTTTCACTCATCAAAGTTGTAGAATATGCATGAATGTAGAGGACCGCTCGCCATTGGCCTTTCCAGTAGAAGAGCTTGCTTTGACTGCCTGCACCCAAGGTGTTCAGCTGATTGAGATTCTCGTCTTTGAGATATGGCCTCACTGCTCTGGGCAATTCTTCTTACACCAGTTTACATCAACTATTCTACTATATCTGTGCAGTAATTCACTAGCTATTGGCTGAAGTTCAATCATGTCTCTTTGATCGCTCCAGTCCTTTTTCTGTCCATTTTGCTGGAAACCAATTCTATACTGAAGTCTTGGATATGTTCTAAAATTCTCTGTTTCCTACTTCTCGTCTGTTTATGCTCTTTATAAACATTGTTTTTCTTGAGTTGAATGTGATAGAATTTGGACAGGAACTCCTTTTTCTCTAGTTATGCTTTACACTAGATCGTGGTTGATGGGATTTTTGAGGAGTTAAGTAGTAGCTATGCCAACATTCTTTAAATGGTTGTATCAGGTGAGAATTTCAGTTGGAGTAGCTGAAAACATATGTATGGACATTTAGAAGTTTTTCCACTTACAGCCGGTAGTTGTGCGAGTGGAATTACCCAACTAGACCTGGTCAGTCTGAACTGTTTTGCGGTTCTTATGGTTTGAATTTCACTTCACTCGTCGACTATCTTCCATGAAGGTTCTATAAAATGTAGCAATGAAGGTTGTTTAATAATGTATAATTAACTAGAGGTAACTACTGATAACTTAAAAGAAAGCTGAAAAATAATTTTGTGAATAGGACTAGATGTATGTTAGGAATAATATATTTATGTTGCTTGAGCTAGTTTGAGAACTATTTGGATCATAATTTTCATAACTGATTGAGTTGAAATAAACCTTTAAGCCAAGATTATCGTTAGACAATCTTAGATCATATTGTTAAAAATTGGTCTGATATTTATATAGTTTTACCATTTACACCCTTATTTAACGTGTGATCTCTTCTTGTAGGTTGGATAAAAAGATATAAAATAGTAGTATTTATCTTTTTGATTTTTTAAACTGTAGAAGACTTTTCTCGAATACTAATTTTAAGTGAGTTCTCTGCTTTGATATATGATATATGTATACAAAATGAAGATTTAGATTATTCAAGACCTAATGATGTTCGATTTGTTACATGGCCTAATTGTGCAATAATACTATGTTCCTCGAACAGCATCGACTTAGGTGATCAATAAAAGACACCATTAAATTGCATCCACTATCAGTGTACTATGGACCTAGTTGTCCGTAAGCTGCTTAATGTTTATTCATGTGCAACATTGATACCCATTTAAAAAGGAAAAATTATGTTAATTCTTGTTTGCACTTAAATAATAACTACTAGTAGTAGTAGTATTAAATAATGTCAACATGGATTAAAATAATGGATTCTCTTTTGATCTCCTCCCATTTCAAAGCTACTTAATATGTCCATTAGAATTGGTCTTTATATACCATTTCAATTATGCATTTTTTGAATAATTCTCCTACATACATAAGAATAATATCCAATTGTAAGCTTAGTGCATTTCGTACGTGAAAGCAACTCTGATATGGAGTAATTATAATTATTGTCTATTTTTTTTATATATAATTGTAAGAGTTTATGGTAAGATTCTTTACTATTTGCGTTTCTTGAATCATTCTCCATCAACTCTAAATGTGTCTATCTCATCCCTTCGACATCTTTACATGAAAAAGGAGGAGCAGAGGAGGAATATCTTATTCAGCATCATTAAATAAAGAGAAAATACATAAAGTCCCATTAAACTTAGATCTTATTTTAAAGTAGATACTTAAAGTTTGCGAAAGTCCTATTATCCCATTGAACTATTTTCTATCAAACTAAATATGCCATTTTGACCTGCTTCTACACCTGCTGTGTTTTCACATTTCCAAGGCGCGTGAGTATCTTACAAAACAACCCCAAATCAATATAAAGCGGCCATGTGGCATTGTAAATTGAATTCTTTATTTTAGAAGAAGACCCATCTTCCCCAAATTAATTCAAACACCATTGATAGCCATTGAAGCTTGCTACTGTGCCATGACGAGTCAACATTGCAATATCTCTCAAACTTCAATTCACTTTCACAAGATGAGTACTACATTAAGTCAACAACAATCCTCGAATTTCTGACTTTTTTTTATAAAAACCCATTTTCAGAAAGAGGATACCACAGGCCGATGCTAGCTTCTCCTTCGTCCACTGATAATATTATTCAAAAATTGAAGAAAAACTCAGACAAAACACACACAAAGCAAAAAGAAGAGATTGACCTCAAAAATATTTATTGTTCATACTCCACTAGATTCTCTCAGAACAGCCTCATTAACCGATACAAATAAATTAGAACTCATTAATATTAATTTTATGTAAGAATTGAAATAGCCCAAAGAGTGAAAATTGCATCAATCTTACTTCAGATCACTCAATATCACAATTTTGGGAAGAAAAGATAGAAAAAAAAGTTGATTAGGAGGAAAGGTTAAAATGTGAACGGGTCAAGTTAAGAACCCGGCCTTCATAAAAACGGGTAGAAAAATATAAATAATTATATTATTTTATTAGGGGGTGAGAGACATGCGTGGAGAATTGGAGTAGAAATTGCTAAAAAGGGCGTATTTAGTTTGGTTGAAAATGATTCAGTGGGGTAATATGATCCCTGCAAACTTTAAGTGTCTACTTCAAAATAAGGTCTAAATTTAATGAGGACTTTATGTATTTTCTCTTAAATAAATATATTTTTCTTATTTCAAGAGCGAAAAAAGCATGTCATATAATCAAATGATATATATTATTGACTCCTTAAACTAATATTATAATAAAGACACATTCGTAAAAAATATATTTGAAATTGTTGTTTTTGCATCAAATTACTTTTGACTTGTAAAGCATGAAAGCTTTTTAATGGATTTTGTGCAAGCCAAACCAACAACTATAACTCATATAGATGGCCTTTAATGAAAGTTTCTTTTTATCCCAACTTATCTCGAATTGAGGCGTAATTATTATGGTTAACCCAGTGGCGGACAAGCATATATTATGGGTGCTTAAGCACCCATTGACTTTTGTGATAAACACAATATTATTTAGGTACAAAATCTACTAACTCAATAAAATATATTAACTAAGCACCACTCTATGTGGCACTTTTCAAACTAAAAATAGTTGAGCATCCATGATACAATATTTTTGGATCTTAATTTCTTCAACCTTCAGTCTAATGACCTATGCTATTTTGTTGTTGATGTGAAGTTTTGGTAATTTGACAAACTTCGGGGATGATGAAAATAAGGGGACCAATTCAGTTACCTGAAGAGTCATGTCGATAAGAGGAACTAGTGAAAGGGGAAATAAGGTAAATAAGTTTGTTATCCTAAAAAAAGAAGGGGGAAATGTTTTTTTGTAGTTGATGTTAAGTTTTGATGATTTAACAAACTTAGAGATCTAACAAGGAACCAAATCCGTGTTATTGAGACTGACGACAGGGTAAATGAATGAATAAACTCAGTGTGAGGAATATTTGTGTGTCATCATCAAAAAGGGGGAAAATGTTATATTCTAGGTGTTTTGATGATCCACACAAAGACAGGGACCCAATCCCTGACAGAGTGCCTCGTCCAGAATCAAATGGGGTACAACTGTAAAACTTGTCATGTCAGGCGGTAGGTGAAAGTGTAGTGTACTGCACCAATAGGAAAAGCAGACGAGACTGTATGTTTCAGTGGCTCACAAATGCAAGGACCCAGTCCCTGACATAGTTCTCTCGTCCAGATTTATAATGGTGTACAACTGTAAAGTTGTCCTGTCAGTGGGTTGGTGAAGTCGTCAGCGTACTTCACCAATAGAAACGGACGAGGTTGTTTGTCCAATGGACAATAATTCTTTTAGGTCGATAGAATCAAAATGACAAACAACAAGAAGATTCATTCATTCAAAAGAGAAAGAGAGTTAGCAAGTCTTCTCAAGAACTCACAAAGAACATTGCAAGGGACCTGGTCCCTGCAAGACTGCAAATGTGAAAAGGACGATAAAACAACTGTCAGAAAAGCTGCCACCTCTGATGTGGTAGGTGCACGTCCTTTTAGGGAAGCAGGCTCTCAGCCAATGGGAGGTCCCAAGGAGTTTGTGTCCTTTTGATATAATTTCTTCTCCAAAACACAAACTCAAGATTTGGCAAACAAAAACTTGGATTTTCTTTGAAAATTCATAAGCTTGAAAAGAAGGTCATCTTCAAGGAAGAACACTGCTCAACTCAACAAAGGGACCTGATAGAGTGAAGAAGAGTCTTTGTCGTATTTTGAGCTTTGTGTCTTATGTGCTTACATTGTAAATCTACTCCTAAGTTATAAAGGATAGTAGATCGGTCGCTTGTCTAAATATTTAGTTTGAGTCATATTAACTAGAGTTAGTTAGTCGAATAATCTAAGTTTTGGTCAAGTCTTTTTCATCATTGTTTTGATGTTGTCTTGGGTAGAGTTACCTAAGAGTGTCAACTAGAGGTAGTTGATGTGTGGTGCAACAGAGTTGCTACTTGTTTAACTCTTGTCTTGGATATCGGAGTTGGTGGCTAGAGTTAGCCTTGGGGGTTCTTACAGTCTAGATCAACTAAGAGTTAGTTGGTTTAGTGGGCAATATAAGTAATATGAGTATTACTTAGAGTGAGATTAGGGTGTTAATCACACTGTTGTGGTTGTAATCTATGTTTCACTTTTGCTTGAGAAGATTAGTGAAAATATTTGGAAAATCTTGTGTGACAGGTCGTGGTTTTACTCCCTTGAGCAAGGAGGTTTCCACGTAAAACTCTTGTGCCTATTTTACATTGTGCTATTTATTTTCTGCACCTTAATTCTGTTAAGGGACCCGGTCCTGTGATCATTGGTAGACGCATACATTTCAACAATTGGTATTAGAGCTTGGGATCTCTATCTGGTTAACACCAAGAGAGAGATTTCTACAAGGAATGGCGACATCACTGAACCTGCAAAGAAATCAGTCCCCCATAAGACCACCTCTCTTTGATGATCAGTTCTATAAATGGTGGAATATTCGAATGAAAGACCATCTCATGGCTGAGGACATTGAGGTGTGGAACATTATTTGTGAATGTTCTTATGTGCCAACTATGAAGGTTAAAGATGAAGAGGTCACAAGAGTCATTCGCAAAACTCGACAACAATATAATGACTATGACAAAAGATTAGTCGGGAAAAACCACAAAGCTAGGAATCTACTGATGTGTGGCATCAGTATGAATGAATACGATCTGATCTCATCGTGTGAATCAACAAAGGAAATCTGGGATTGGTTGAGAACAACATATAAGGATACTGAGGAAACAAAGAAATCTAAGCTAAATATCTTTACTACTCAGTT